TCAAAGCACCTTTTATTTAAGTAGCTTGCCAAAATGGAGTAGAATGAGTGAGGTAGCTGATTTTTTATTTTGTAAAGAAGACCCATGTGCCAAACCCTGTCAAAGGCCTGACTTATGTCCAAGAAAACTGCTGAACAAAACTGCTTGTTTTCAATAGTTTGGCTTATGGTGTTTGATATTCTGTGCACCTGTTCTATAGTACCATGTTTCTGTCTAAAGCCAAATTGGTGTTCTGGGAGAATTTCTTCTAGGTGGGCATACATTCTGTTGAGTATTATTTGCTCAAAAAGTTTACCCAAGAGAGGGAGGAGACTAATAGGTCTGTATGATAAGGTTTCCTCTACTGGTTTGCCCGGTTTAGGCACCATTACCACCTGTGCAATCTTCCACTGGGATGGGAAATGGCTCAGTCTTAGGCATGAATTAAAGAGCATCACCAGAAACATTATGCCCTTCTTCGGGAGGTTCTTTATTAGGGTTGAATCAATTTGATCATACCCTGGCGCTTTTCCAGTGGGTAGTGTTATAATTTCTCTAGAAATTTCTTTAGGGGTTGCTGCTCTTAGTGGTAGGCATAATTGGTTGGGTGATTGAAGGAAATCCCTAATTTCTTTATCCTTTTCTTCATTCCTAGTCTCAAGAGGGGTGAAGACATCTTTGAGGTGAACAGCAAAGGCTGTCGCTTTTTCATAATTTGATCTGGCCCAGGTGTTATCTCTTTTTTTGATTGGCGGAATGTGGTTTACAGGTCGTTTGAGGTTTTTAGTCGCGCGCCACAGTGAATAATTAGTGTCTTTGTTAGGAGTCAGGCGAGTTAAGTAGTTTTGAAAGCTGAGATTTTCATAGTCGCTAATCATTTTCTTCAATTCCTCTGAGGCTCTATTCAATTTGGTTTTATCCGAAGGATATCTAGTCCTATGCCATTCTTTCCTTAATTTTCTCCTCTCTAGTGCTTTCATTACTACTTTCTTTGGATATTCCCTATGAGGGGGATTTGTATTTTTTGTAGGGGTTGTTTTGATGGCTGCCATATGAATTATGTAGTTGAATTTTTCAATACTGTTTTCAATATCCTCTGTTGTTTTCAATTTAATGGTAAGTTCTAGGTTTTGAGAGATGATGTCCTTGTATTTGTCCCAATCAGTATTTTGATTGTATATTCGTGTCAATGGTTCAGAGGGAATGGCAACTTTTGTTTTATTAAGAATAACCGGGGAGTGGTCTGACGATAGGTCCTCACATTTCTCTATTTTAGTGTAATTCCTGCTGATGTTCTTTGTTATATAAAAGTCCAATAGATCAGGTATTTTGTTTAAATCCTTTGGCCAGTATGTAGGCTCACCGTGAGATATGCAATCAAGGTTCATATCCACTGTGGCTTTGTGTAGTTGTCTACCCTTCGGGTTGATTAATCGGGAGCCCCAGTAGGTATGCTTGGAGTTCCAATCTCCTCCACTTATAAATGTCGGTCCTAGCTCCGCAAAAAATGTTTTAAATTCTTCAGCACTGATAGAGTGTCTTGGTGGGCAGTAAACTGCAGCAATAGTTGTATCTGAATTTTTGTAATTTAATTTGATCATAGTTGCTTGAATTTTATCTGTTTTGTATGGGTTTAAGGCATAATGCTTGATATTTTTTCTCACTATAACCGCAGTTCCACCGTGTGAATTTCCAGAAGGGTGGTCAGTTCTATAGGTTGTGTAGTTTTTAAATGTGATGTATGACCTCGGAGTTAGTCTTGTTTCGGAAATCAAAGCTATGTCAATTTTCTCCATTTCCATGAAAAGCTCAAGTTCTTGTCGTCTAGTAGTTATCCCGTTGGCATTCCATGAGAGTATACGAAGGTTTATGCCCTCTGTAGGACCAGTCCTGTGATTAGTTGGACCATCCGGTCCATCATGCTGTCCATCATGGTTTTCATGATTTCTTGGAATCGATTGAACATTATGTCTAACAATTTAGTAATGTTTGGTCCATTGTCCGTCAAGTTGTCATTTAATTGTTTTTCTTGTAATGTGTACAATGATTGGTCGGTCAGGTTTTTGGATTCGTTTCTGTGTCTTAGTACGTCGGAATAGCTTCTCGGTTGAGCTGAGGGTTGGGGTTCTTCTGGGGCAGCTTTTGGCTGGTGGGTGTGTACGATAGTCTGTCTTGCTTTGTTGGAGTCTGGTTTTACTTTAATTTTTAATATTCTTTCTTTATATTCTTTATATTTGTTGCATCCTCTGTAACTAGCTGGATGACTACCTTGGCAATTTGCGCATACAGCGTCTGTTTCAGGAAGTTTTGTGCAAGTAGCTGTTGGGTGGTCATTTCCGCACTTGACACATCTGAAGGGACGAAAACATTGATTTTTGCTGTGCCCAAATCTTTGGCATCTCTTACATTGTATAACTTCTCTTTTCTTGTATGGTGCCTCAATTGTAACTTTAACCTGACCGATGTGTCTTATATTGAATATATCTTTGTTGTTAGGCCGCTGTTCTATATCCACAAAGTAAAGTGGGAGTTTTTGTTTTGTTGTGCGGTGTTGCACGTTCACGACTTGTCTCACTTCGTGCCCATTGTCCTGGAGTTCTGCTTTAATAAGTGATATATCTTCGGATGCATGTAAGCCTCGGATAACCACTCGGTACGCTCTCTCACTTTTTAATTTATATGTGTAGTGGTGTATTTCTTTCTCAATAAGGTAATCTCTTATTATTTTATAAGTCTCGATATCGCTTGGGATAAGCTTGATGATATGCCCTGATCTAAGTGTAGTCATTTGATATTTATCTGAGTTTACTGCCTTATTTAGGATGTCTCTCAGCGGAATTATGTCGATTATTCCTGTGATAAAGATCGGCTCTGGTTTTGGGACATATTCTTTTTTGTTGTTTTCAGTTTCGTTATTTTCATCATTAAGAATATCAAATCTGTTTTGTGTAGGAACCAGAGGATTGATTCCTTTATTCGCTGACTGTTGCCCGGTAGGACTTTCCTGTCTCTTTCTCTTTGCAGGAGGTAAACGGTCTAGTTGCCATTGGTTGCTATTCTGTGCATTCTCTTTTTGAGGAGAGCATTTTTGATCGGCTTTCTTAGCTTGGTTGTCTGGTCTATCCTGCAGTGTACTCTGTTGGTTTTCCTTACAGACAGGTGCTTCTGTCATATTATTACTGCTATTGCAACCGCTGAATGAAAAAGATCTTGGTCTCGTTTCAAAAAAACTTTTATGAAAGATTTGTTGTGTTGTGGTTTTTTGTGTTTTATTTTCAGGTTTACTCATATTGTTCCCACGAGTTTGGACGAAATGGTTGTCGCTCACAGGGTGACGCCATTCCTGTGAGAAGGCTATATACAATGGTGTTCGCCAGGTTCACCAAGGTTGGCGCTAAAGACTGAAACCCCCAGCCATTCATCCTATTGGCGCGGTGCCCACCGTAGGATTGGGGTGAATTTTTATTGAGGCTTTCAACCTCTTGACACGGGCAGTTAAGTCAATGTCCCCGATTCTGTAGACTAGTCCACGGAGTAGCGGGTTGGAGGGATCATTTCCTATCACCTCCTGGGAAGATCATACGGGTTAGTTAACCGCCGCCCGAGACTCGGCGTTGACCTTTTACAGCTGGTTTGGTCGGCTCTCAGCCAACCCTCCTCCTTTCACATACGGGCTTGGGACCGTCAACGGCGGAGTTAACCTTAATGTTGACCAGTTGATGGAAAATCCTTTTCATAAATTTCGATACATATGTATCGTGAAAGTTATGATGTGAATGTATGGACACAATCGACTGGAGTGATAGTGCACGCAGCAACTATTAAATATAATTCGCTAATATTTTGGTAATGTTTAGTAGCTAGATAAAAATTATATCGAGATGAATAATAAAATAATGATATTTTATTGATAAGTCAATTAAAACCAATACTAAAATATCGATATTTCTACAATTTTAAAAGTCACATCCCTAGTTCTATCCGCCATTACAGATGACCAAGTGAAGTTTAGGTAGGCACGATTTTTTCGTAGTTGTTTCTTATCCATACTCATAGATTTATAAATTTATCATATCAGTGTAATATACAGACCTACACTTTTTCAGTGTATGTGTATACCAGTTTATGACCAGAATATTTAATTTTATGTTCATTCAATGCACTGTTCAATGCGTGGGGCGTTCCCATAGATACCTATATAATAATTTAAGTTCCAAAAAGTAATTAAGTAGAACTCTATACATGTTGGTAAAATAGGGACACGGTACCGAAGCAAAAGTATTGATACTGTACTCATGTGTAGAATCGATAAAAAGTATCGTACTCATATCGAAATAAAAGTATCGATTTTTCAAGGTATTGACTACTTTTTTAAATCAAAATTTGCATAGAGCAAAGGCTAGTAAATAATGTCAGTATTACTTCAGTTCAGCAGGAAATAAAAAACAAATGATATTAGTACACAAATTTAGGAAAATAATAGAAAAAAATTTAATGTAATGAATGAAACACATTCAAAATGTAGGAAAAAGAAATAATATTAAGTTATTCCAGATATAATAAATACTGGCAGTGTTCTGCGGTTTCACCCGCGTAGTAGATTAAAGATCCCATTCCTCCACCAGACAGTCATTTAAAAATAGAAGCCGTTATAGAGATAAGCGATTTTGGATTTTTGTGATGATACTTCCTGCTTTAGAAAATAATCGTTCTGAAGGTACTGACGTAACAGGATTGGATATACATTCTCGTGTCAATTTATATAATTTTGGGTACACTACTTTGGGAATTTAACTGCGACACGGTAAAAATAAGTTCGATCAATCGAATTAAAATGTTTTCAAGGAGTGAGCTGGCACTGTTAAATTAAATTTTTCATTCGATACGATACGGGTAAAAGTTTTAATTGAGTAAAAGTATCGAATGCAAAGTATCGAGAACATAAATATCGGTATCGAATGGGATACCACATAACATCGATACTTTTTTCGTGTCCCTAGTTCCCTACATGTTGGATTGTTGGACATATTGGTTCAATCGACAATCATATAATTACATGCTCTGTGGGTTCAATGTTGTAAAAATGTGTTGTTCAGATGTGAAATTGTGAATGCGCTTATTCGTACCTACTTATTGAAATTCTACTCTCTAATTATTTGTGATTAACTTGGTGATTAACTTCAAAGTGAGTTTACTGCAGAATAGAAGCGTATTACAATTACGACGCACCTTCGAGATCATCTCCCGAAAGTGTAACGAGTTTGAGTTTTGAGTGAGTGACATATCGTCGCCATTTTGGTAAAGGACATCTTAGATTTAATTTGATAATAATTTAGATACGTTTATTATTCACTAAGGTGAGTAAATTTACACTCGCTATTTATTTTACTAAACAATGGCTGAAAATGGTCCAAAAGAGCCTCCGATACAAACAGTAAGTGGATTACCACCAAATCATAATCCGTGGCTCTATAACATGAATATGTACCAACAATATAATGGATATCATGGTGGTATGTATCCACCATATTACAACCAGTACTTTAACCCGATGGTTAACAACGGTGGTTTTCCTAACAATAATCCTCATCAATTTCATCAAAACAAGGAGCAGAAGATTGATATAAGTCATCCCCAGTTCTCAAAACCACCTCCGACTGCCCCTTTACTTGGTATGTCTCCCCTTGATACCAATCGTCCATTCTTTAACCAATCTCCCATTCGGTTCAATCTCAACAATATGAGAAAGCCACCACCTCTACCAGTAAATGAAAATCCACTTCTTTCCAATAACAATGGCCCTAAAAAGAAACGCAAGAAGCCAAACAATAAATTCAATGAAGATAACTCTGAAGATTCAAATGAAATCCTGCCCCCACTCCCTGACCATCCTCCACCTTTGCCACCCCTCCCTCCACCGGAAATCCCTAAGCCCCCTCCTCCTCCTATTGATGTACCACTGCCGCCTCCAGTGGCTACAGAAGACATACCTCAACCACCAGAACCAGAAGAGTTCAAATTCTCTATGAATGAAAGTACAGTTGAGGTGCAAAACAAAAATGCCTCAAATTTATTTAATGATCCAGATTCTAGAAACAATTGGCCTGAAAGTTTAGAGAGATATATCAAAAGATGTTATGAAAAATGTAAATCTGCATTTGATCGTGATCAAATTGATATATGTCTAAAAGGAAGAATAACTGCAGCTGCCAATAAAGATGAAATATGGACTAGGAATTGGGATGAGGAACCAATTCCAAGTGTTCACAGTGAAAGAAATAATCTGGCTGTAAAGCCTGTGCGTGGCACATTAAATTTGTATCAGAAAGTAGAAAATGCTACAGAAGCTCATAAAAGTCGTGGTTCATTAAACACTCGGGGTTTTAATGGTCATAAGAACTCTCCACAGCGCAGGAGACGCCCTAGCACTAGGAGCAGGTCTAAGTCTCGGAGCCCTCCTAGGAAAAGGCTAAGGTATGTTGTATAAAATCTATTTTAAATTGTCTGGGTTTTAAGTAAATTGTGTAAATGAAGTTTATTGTAGTGAGTAAATTCTGATAAAAGCTTTTGTGTTATATTATTATGATGTTGGCTTTGAAATAAATATTAAATTGTTGTCTCGTTCTGTTTCAGCGCCTCTTCTGCCTCTGGTGATGAGGTTGATGACAAAAAAATTGTTAAAGGCAAAGGGCGTCAGAAAGTTAAAGATAGATTGTCTTTAGATCAAAAGAAAAATGATAAACCTTATCACAAAAACACAAACAAAAAGAAACAGTCATTTGACCAATTTGTTGTTGAAGATTTCCAGGGTAATGCTGAAAAACTGCAGAAAAGAGCTGAACGGTTTGGTAATACAGGTGTTCCTTCCATAGCAAGCTCTCTACAGGGTGGAATCAAGAGGCCAGAACCAACTGTACGTAGGCCAATTATTCAGGATGCAGATGGTGACTATGAAATCAACAACATGCACATAGTGGGCACTTGTCTGGACATTGAAAAGTCATTTTTAAGATTGACAAGGGCACCAGAAGCATGTGAAGTTCGACCTGTGACAGTTTTAAGAAATTCCCTTAAATATGTTAAAGATAAATGGGTAGAAAAACAAGATTACACATATACTTGTGATCAGTTAAAATCTATCAGGCAAGACTTAACTGTAAGTAAATTAACAAATTCAGTAGCTATCATGATCAAATAACTGAATAGTAAACATAATGTGTTATTTACCAATATTTGATATGTTTCAGGTACAAGGAATTCGAGATGAGTTCACTGTAGAAGTGTATGAAACACATGCACGAATTGCTCTTGAGAAGGGTGATCATGAAGAGTTTAATCAGTGTCAAACTCAACTCAAAATGCTGTACAGTGAATTGCCTGACTGTAAAAGTAATGCTCCAGAATTTACAGCTTACAGGATATTGTATTATATTTTCACTAAAAATACCTTAGGTAAGTCTTTTTAATGTAGTAAATAATATGATGACAATGATGGTTGTAACAATGGTAATACAAATACACCAATTTAAAAAAAAACAGTTAAAATGTTTCATACACTAAATTTAAATAATATTTTGATAAGAATGTCTATATATTGTAAACAATTATTATGATTATAAAGTGGAGATTTTTTTTTTCAGATTTAACCACAATTTTTAAGTTTCTTTCAAAGGAAGATAGAGAAAATAAGTGTGTTAAACATGCACTTCAAACAAGATGTGCTTGGGCTACAGGAAATTTACATAAATTCTTCTTGCTATATAGAGCAGCCCCTATGATGGCGGGATATCTCATGGACTGGTTTGTTGAACGCGAACGAAAGCAGTACCTGAAATACATCTTAAAGTCGTACGTCCTTTACTTTTTTCAAATTTATTATTTCGTATTGGGGCTATGCATTATGTCGTTTACGTATAGTTGACACTGCGAACTGTGAATTAGTTAGGGTTTTATGCTTGCTATTTACATATTAACTCGTCGAGTACCTTCATTATAGACACATTTATAGAACAATAGGTTGCGGTCACCGGTGACCGCTCGGTGTTTGACAGTTTAATAATATAAATCCATAAAATTCCGATTTATTTGCAAAAACAATTATTTTTACATTTTAAAATTAAGAAAAGAACTACCTATTGTCTTTCTTAGGTTAGGTGACAAGTGTAGATGACTAAGATCAATCAATAAGTGCTTCCTATGCTAGGGATACCTAGAATGTTACTTTGTATTTTTACTAAACGGTTTTATTTAGCTTGTCCAGTTTGTTCGTTTGTTGGTCTTTAGTAATTGGAATTTTATTGTACCTATGTTCTTAGTTTACTAACTGAGGCATACACACGCCTGAAGAAAAGGGTATTTCAAATGCTTCAATAAACAAAATATTTGAGGAATTTTAAGAGATAACTTTGCCGTTAGCCAGTTAGTTATACTGTAGTAGTTTGATCATCATTTATTATTAACTGATGACCACGTGGGTCATTCATATCTAACGCCTTAGCACGTACCACGGTCCCACGGCGTAATATAATAATAACCTTACAAGATTTTATGAAATCTCCCTACAAATCGAGCATATCGGTATTTATATTATGAATATTTTATTTTTATAATTCAAATGTTTAATATAAGAAGGACCTAATTGGAATAACTAGCAGATGTGGCGTTATATTGAAGCAAAATGTGCGCTTATAAATATCAAATTATTTGCTGTATTTTATATAAATTTCAGTTATGACCAATGTTATATATCTATTCAATATTTGGATACTTAATATACTTTCATCGGGGCATGAATATTGAATTTGAATAAATAGTTTTAGGTGCATATGCCTCATAAAATAAATAAAAAATAGGCAACATGCGCCCAAAACTCTTGATTAATGTATAACCATAAAAACACGGGTCATACCACAGGGGTTTGAATTCTTCCTTAGTGATAAAGTGAGGGGATTGGACAGAATAAAGTTTGAGAAATGTTATAACTTTCATTTTATTTATTTATTCATTTAACATTTTACATTGTGTCTGAAATTTAATATAGGTACAAAAAAAAAGAGAAATCTAACAACTATAATACAATGGCTAGAAACAACGCCACATAAGAATAAAAATAAAATGTCTATTGTTTCCTGACTTTTTAAATATGACATGCTAATTATTGACTACATGACACAAATTGCCATGACTAGGTAAATACTTAGTTTAATACTACTATTGGAGTATTGATACATGCCTATGGCATTAAGTCCACCCATACATTATAATTATTATTTAATTAGTGTACAATTGTGCATGAAGTTAAATATTGATTGAGTATTGGGATATTCTTTATTAATAGTCTTCTTCCTTTGAACACTTTGTAATAGGAAATTGCATAACTTGTTTCTTGTCCCATCCCCTACTGTCTTTAAGTATAATCAGAGATTTTAAACGTTTAGTATTTATATTCTAGTCATACGATTTAGAATATAGGTACTAAAATGTCCCCTTGCCAGCATTGCTGGTTGTGTTTATTAATTTATTTTTTATATGTGCAGCTACAGACAGAGTGTTCCTGTGGATTTCATCATTCGAGAGTTGGCGTTCGATTCAAGCTCTAAGGCAATTGAATTTCTAAGTCAATTCAAACTTTCATATACTGACTGCGATCAATCTCAATTAGATTGCAAAGCCAGTCTTCCAGCTGTTCAAAGTCTTTAACATTTCGTATATAGCCGTCATTATTTAGTAACGTGTTGTTGCGCGATTATGTAACGACGGGAGCTACATCACTCCGTTTGCGGCGTTCTGTCAGCGTCGTAATCATCGATCAACATAATTCACGTCTTAATTTTAAGCACTTTGCTAGGATGAGGGCGGCACAATGGACATTTACCTACACTTATATTCAGTTGTACAGCAGTTACGGATTAAGTATTGAAGATATTATTACTCAGCATGAAGACAGCAGGAAGTCATTCAAATATGAGAAGTACAGTGGAATAAACATTTTTATGTGAAGTGATTAAAGACTTGCAGTTACAGTAGACTTTGTAGATATAATGTAGTTTCTGGATGGACCTAAATGGGTGTTATCGTTAATGTTTTGTAAATATTGTCATTTTATTATTGTCTATTACAAGTTTTGATTCGTAATTATGAAATATTTTTAAAGCTCGTGGTTTAGAATTAGTAGTCAATAAATAATTTTGTTTTTATAATGTATGTTGTTGTTTTATTTATTAACTAGCCCCACTCCAGTCCCGCGCGGTTCACACCTCGCTCGACTCCTATTGATCTTTTAAATATTTTTTTGGAATATTGTACATGCATCTCATTGCCTTCATTTGAAACCTTTCCAGAATTTCTATATTGCTGGTACTTGCTGTTCCCCAGAGCTCAATACCTTATGTCCAGATCGGTTTCAGGATAGCCTTGTATACTGCCATTTTGCTTTTATTAGATAGTTTAGAGTTTTTACCGATCAACCAGTACATATTTCGAAGAGTTGCGTCGAGTTGTTTTCTTTTGGTCCGGATGTGTTTCCTCCAAGTTTCTTTTGTCGAGATGCATGCTAAGATATTTAGCAGTTTCGTCTTGCGGTATTTGTTCGCCATTAAGTAGAACAGGAGGGTAGTTCCCTTTTCTTAAGGTAAAAGTGAGATTGACTGACTTCGTTTGATTAGCCTTTATTCTCCTTTGTTTCAGCCATATTTCGACTTCATTAAGGTGATTTTGTAGGGTTTCCGAAGCGATATCTGGATCCTTATCCACTGCCAGAATTGCAGTGTCATCCGCATAGGTGGCCATGGTGGTATGTGCGTGAGTGGGTACATCTGCAGTAAACAGAAGATAAAAAACAGGACCCAGTATGCTGCCCTGTGGAACTCCTGATTGTATCGTACAATTCTGATTTCTGATGTCTCATCATTGAATTTCACTTCATAGCATCTTTTGCTTAGGTAATTTTCAAGTATTGGAAAAAGGAGCGTGGCAGAGACTTTTTGATTTTGTACAGTAGACCCCCTTGCCAGACCTTGTCAAAGGCTTGACTAATATCCAGGAATGCAGCCGAGCTATAATGCTTGGTTTCAATTGTATTCGACGGTACCATGGCTATGTCGAAAACCAAATTGATGTTCTGGAAGTACTCTTATCTAGGTGTGGATTGCGACAATTGATGATAATGATAATCCTTTCAAAGATCTTACTGAGAAGAGGGAGTAGACTAATTGGTCGATATGACGACACTTCATCTACTGGTTTGCCAGGAGGGATCATAACAACTTGAGCAATCTTCCACTGGCTTGGATAATGTGAGAGCCTCAGGCAGGCATTAAAAATGTTTACTAAGTGGATTATTCCTTTTCTCGGCAGGTTTTTCATCAGCGTGGAGTCTATAAGGTCATATCCAGGGGCACCAGATTTCAGAGCCATAATCATCTTATCTATCTCTTTAGGACTTACTGGTTTAATAGGTGCACAAAGCTGGTAAGGAGATTTCAAATAGGTTGTAATTTCTTTATCATTTTCTGGGGAAAGGTTTGAAGACACTAAAGATATTCAGAAAATACTGTTGCTTTTTCTAGATCGGATCTAGCCCAGTCCCTGTCCTGTTTCCTTAATGGTAGAACATGGATATCTGGCCGCTTCAATTTCTTTGTTGCGCACCAAAGTGAATACTTGGTGTGTTATGGGGAGTTAAATGGCCCATTTTGCTCTGCACTGTGATTCTCCAGATCTTTGATAAGTATCTTTATTTCTTCTGTAATTTTATTAAACTTGGTTTTATCTGAAGGATACCTTGTTTGTTGCCATTCTTTCCTCAATTTTCGCCGTTCTTGGACTTTGTCTCTTATTAGTTTTGGGTAGTTTTTCAGTTTTAATTTAGGGTTTTTGTGTGTAGGTGTAGTTAGACAGGCGGCAGTAAGAATGGCTGTATTGAATTTTTGAATGCTTATTTCTAGGTCTTCAGGCGATATTAGTTTAATTTTTAGATTTATGGTTTTACTGACCATTTCTTGAAATTGTTTCCAGTTAGTTTTATGATTATGTAGTTTGATGGTAGTTTCTTGCAGGATAACTTTTTGGTACACATTTAGGATTACTGGGGTGTGATCTGAAGATATCACACGCTTTTGTTTTTATGTAACCTCTGCCATTCTTTTTTGTTATATAGGAGTCTAATAGGTCAGGTATCTTGTTTTGGTCTGTGGGCTAGTATGTAGGTTGACTGTGGGATATCCATTCCAGTTTTAGATCTAGTGTACTTCTATAGGTATAGTTTTCTTCCTCTAGGATTGATAAGCCTTTAACCCCAATTAGTATGTTTGGAGTTCCAGTCTCCTCCACAGTGAAACGTGTGCCTAATTGGCTGAAAAACTTCTTGAAATCATCAGAGGATATTACATGTCTTGGTGGACAGTATACAGCAGACACAGTACCTAGTCAATTCCGATTTATGCTGAATGCAAATAGTAATAGCTTGTATTTTATCAGTTTTATATGGTTCAAGGACGTGGTGTTTTATATTACTTTTGACTATAACGGCTGTCCCTCCATGCGAGTTTCCAGATGGATGTTCAGTCCTATATATGCTGTAGTTTTTAGGCTTAATTCATTCTGTCTCCTGCAGTAATTCACCGAGGGAAGTGAAAACCATAGTTTTTCTTCTTCTCCTCTTATAATATCTTCTGATTCACTTCGTTGCGGGAACCAAGACAGTTACTCATGTCCCTGGGACGCGCCGGACTTCAGTGTTCCGGTGTTTTCATGGTTGTATCTACTGTAGATCCTGGCTTACAGGAGTTGCAGCGGTTTTGGGAGGTTGTGGCGGGCTTGTCCCATTAAAAAAAAAAATGCTGTAGTTTTGTATTTTAATGTATGATTGACGTGTAAATCTCGTTTCAGATATTACCTCGTGTGTTCATAAGTTTTGAGACAAACTTTTTGCTTATAAAAATAAAATAAAAATTACTGGCTGCTGTATATTTCTTTTTCTAATTTTGAATTTGGAATGTTTACTTTTAATATCTATGATTTCGGATTATTTTATTTAAATTTTCTCGTAATGGAGGGAACAAAAGAATTACGTGCGACCGTCATTTCATTATTTAACTCGTCGAGTACCGGTTTTGTAGACACAATTATAGAACAATAGGTTGCGGTCACCGGTGACCGCTTGGTATTTGACAGTTTAAGGTGGGAAGAAAACCTATGGACATTTTCCGAGAACTGAAAAGTTTTGGTGTGAGCCGTAACTTCGTGTATTACACTATTAAACGATACCAGGAGACAAGTTCTTTACATGATCGGCAAAGAAGTGGTCGTCCACGCTTTGTGAGGACGCCTGCGAACATTAAAATCATCCGAGAGCGACTTCGCCGAAATCCATATCGCACTCAGAAGAAACTCGCTCTGCAGACCAATATTTCGCGCGTTTCAGTCAACAGAATACTGAAATATGATCTCAAGGTTAAGGCGTATAGCCGTAGAAAAGTACAGTTTTTAAACGATCGCCTTCGTCAATTGCGACGCGAACGTTGTCCAATACTGCTTAGGAGACACGATGCGAGGAAGATACTCTTCACCGACGAGAAAATCTTTACCGTCGAAGAAAAGTTCAATCGACAAAACAATAAAGTGTACGCCAAAAGTAGCAAGGATGTCCCACCTTCAGCACGGAATGTCTCGCGTACTCATCATCCGGCTAGTGTTTTTGTATTGTGGGGAGTTTCGTACGAAGGTGTCACTCAGCTTCATTTCTGCCAACAAGGCGTCAAGGTGAAAGCCAAAAATTATCAAAGTGACATTCTAGAGACTGTTGTGAAACCCCTGTCTAATACCCTATTCCATAACAAGTATTGGGTTTTCCAGCAATACTCGGCGCCATCCCATAAGGCTAAAACCACCCAAGCTTGGCTGAAGGAAAATGTGCCGGCCTTCATTGCGGCGAACTAATGGCCCTCCTCCAGCCCCGACTTCAACCCGCTGGAATATTCTCTATGGACCGAATTAGAGCTCAGAGCCTGCCGAAAGTCCCACCCAAACTTGGTGTCACTTAAGCGAGCTCTTGTCCGAGAAGCGAAGCGAATTCCTCTGGAAAAGATCAAATCGTCTAAGGGCATGTATTAAAAACAGGGGTGGTCATTTTGAATAATAATTATATTTAATTTTTACTTACTATCTACTTAATGTTTGTTATTGTTTTTATAAATATAAGTTTATTATTTAAAAAGATATGCAACTTTTAATTTGTCTCAAAACTTATGAACACACGAGGTAGAGCAATATCAATGTTTTCAGTATTCATAAACAGTTCAAGCTCTTGCCTCCTATCAGTTAGTCCGTTGGCATTCCAGGTAATCAACCGGATATTTAGGCCCTCTGGGTTACTATCTGTGTAATAAGTTGGATCATCCGATCCATCATGTTTTTCATGATTGCTTCAAATTGAACATGGTGTCCAATAGGCTGGCTATATATCCTGATTCATTATGAATGTGTGTTGTTATGGTTTCCATTTTACCTTTTAGCGTGTCTGAATAACTTCTCTTGGGTAAGGTGGTTTCATTAATGTTGTGTATGTTTGTTTGATTTGGTTCTTTTGTATTCTTAACCTGTATGTTGTTGGATTTAGGTTTGATTTTAAGTATCTTTTCTTTGTATTCTCTGTATTTTGAGCATCCCTTATATCTTGCCGGATGTTTGCCATGGCAGTTAACACATGTAGGTTCTGTCTCCGGAGTTTTAGTACATGTAGTAGTTGGATGATCATTCCCAAATTTTACACATCTGTAGGTATGGTCGAAAACACTGATTTTTTGAGTGCCCAAATCTCTGACATGACATCTCTTACATGTATTAAGTACTTCCTTCTTCTTGTAAGGTGCTTCGATCGTGACTTTCACTTGACCAATATGTTTAAGATTGAAGATGTCTTTATTGTTGGACTTTGGTTCCAAGTCTAAGAAGTACCTACATTGGGCGTTTTGCTTTGGTTGTGCTTTGTAATACATTTACTATTTGCCTAACTTCGTGTCCATTTGCTCTGAGCTTTAAAATAACGTTTAAAGTAAGTCTTTAGAGCTCTTTGTTTTTCTATTTAATGAAATAACCTTTAAGCTATGTATTGTATTGGTTTTTTATTGCACAACAAGTTTAAATGAATTCCTAAGAAGCCACGTACAAAATATAATAAGCCGGTAAACGAGCAGACGGATCACCTGATGGCAAGCAATCGGCGTCGCTCGTGCGTTACCGGCCTTTTGGGGATTGGGAGTTTGACGATCGTTATAGGGATTCAGGGATTGGGGAGATTAGGGAAGGGGAGGGTAATTGGGCCTGCGGTAAACTCACACGACGAAACACAATGCAAGCGTTGCTTCACGTCGATTTTCTGTGAGGCCGTGGTATCACTTCGGTCGAGCCAGCCCATTCGTGCAGAAGCATGGCTCTCCCACACTTAAATCTAGCAAAATCAAAAACGTTACCCCAGCAAAATCTCGAATAACTTCGCAACCGATGAAAGAAGAAATACAAAACAAGGCACAACATTTACTTCATCTAAACAACTAATTTTATAGCTAGGAATTATTTTAATATTTCTATTAGAAAGAAAAAGGTCTGGCTGGGGTAACGTTACCCCAGCAGGAAATGTTTTTGTGAAATAATTAAACTATAAGCGCAACAAATTAAAAAATGTGCGCAACAATTACAGAAGCCGCACAACTAATTATCTATAAAATTCAAATGACGATTTTCGACAACATCTGGCCTGGGTAACGCACACTATAAGTAAGTAGTTTTGCCACCAGAGCACCTCGAAGAATATTTTTATGAGCATTTTGGAAAATAAATAATTTCCACACCTAATGTTTCTCTGGATGTGATTTGGTGGGCGGTGGCATTGGCAAGTACCTATGTCACAGGAGACCGCTAACATAGGTCACCGGTGACCTACGTTAGCGGAGGATTTGCCTTCAGCAGTTTTCAAATAGGCTTTAGGACAGCGTAATGTAATAGGTAATAAGTTTGTTACTTGCGAAATGCTGTATATAAACTTCCACCCCCATTTTAGGGTAGTAAAGAAAGAAGGGCAGTAGTGTTAGAAAAAAGAGATAAAAAATAGACTATGCTGCTCTGTTTTGCCAAGGAAGACGGACAAACAAACAAATAAACACATACACTTTCACATCTGTTATAATATTAGTTTACACTATAAACCTTTATTTTTATATTATGGAATGTACATCTTACAAATAAAATTTACAAACTAAAAATGAGGCAAACAAACTTTGCCTGCAAATAACTCAGATATCACAGTAATCCAGAGAGACAAAACAAACAAAATGTATGATATGCCAACTTGGTGGCTGTTCGGTAGTTGGTATGGCTGTCCTCCAATTTCATCTACATGGAAACCCATCGGGAATATGACTGCTGCTAAGCAAAACACCACCACTGGAAGCCAAAAACTATCCATTAGAACATTTTTAGAATAACGAATTGAATAATATAAAAAATCTATTATTGTAATCCATTACTTGCTGCAAATCCAACCCATCGTGCATATGGTATTACATTTCTATCAAAATGGCTAGATGCTAGTAGAATCACAGTAGTTGTTATGCAAATACATCCAATAAATATGCAAATTAATGCAAGCAGCCACTCAGGTTGTAGATCTGGAGTGTAACAGACTTGAGGCCGGTTGTAGAGAGTGATACAGGACCACATCAAACCTAGTCGTGTGTCACCTGTAACAAGAAAATTATCTTAGTTAATAAATTTTATAGATACCTTACTATAAACATTCCACTTAATATATGTGAAGAGCAGTTTCATATAATTTACATAGCTTCAGGATTTAACTCGTCGAGTACCGTCATTATAGACACAATTATAGAACAATAGGTTGCGGTCACCGGTGACCGCTTGGTGTTTGACAGTTTAAACGGAGACAAATATCAAAAGAGAATAATTTGTAGGATATTAATATTGTTAACAGTTAAAAAAGCCCAGACTCCATTAAAATCATACATGCACCATTTAACAGACATAACTAAGAGGTCACAAATACTCTTAATATTAAATATTAGTTTTGGCCAAAATCATATTCAAATGAACTAGCAGCCTGCAGAATATCACAGTTTTGTAAAGCAAGGCGAGTGAATAATTGTGTTTTTTTTGTTTCAATGTTTGTTAGTGATGAAGAATTCAGCTAACAAATTACATTTACGACAATTACAAGCAAACCTTCCAAACATATAAGGTTTTACAAGATTAAATACACATCATCATAATATGATGTGATTTTGTTAATAATAACCAGTATACACTGACACGTAAATCTACGGAAACTTACGAAGCGAGCCCATGATAAATAGGTCTCATTTGTTTATTATGATGTAATTGTTTTATTGAATTTGGGGTATACTATGTACACTTTACCTTACTACATAAAAATTATTTTAATCGATTCTGGATATTTGCTCCACACATTTTTGGGCATTATCGTTTATTAGGTTCTGGGTGGTTCCAAGGTCACTATGATTGACATACCTCCAACTTCAGTTATGATCCAGTCAGGCATTGCAAGACTTACAATGGCAAAAACATCAGCTGCCATAAATAAAGTTCCTGATATAACTGTTAATTTATCCATCGTTTAATAAATATATGCCACTTGTTATTTTATTTATAATAATATCAGGCTTTCATATTGAAGCAGTATAGGTGATTGAATTAGGAATTTGAAGACAGCCGTGATCCCGGGCCCTCCCAAATAATATATTTTTTTACTTATACGTAAACTTAATAAACTAAAAATATTGATCAAAAGTTAAATTATTTATGATACACTTGTGATACAAAACAAATATTACTTTTACCAATTCGTGATAATCTGACAGTGACAATGACAAACTACAAAGTGCATGGTTTTTTTGACAATGACAGCTAAGGCTGTTTGGCCATAGAGTCAACACATTTGAAAATGCAAAAGCTGAAACTTCCGAGTGGGATTATACGAATTATTTGCTGCTTATGGTAAGATACCAATCGCACTCTTCAATTAAGAACTCCTGAGGAGAGCCCTTCACGGCGAATTGCCTGGAGGGGCTTACCTCAGGGATCAGTTCTCAGTCCTATCCTATACAACATATATACCTTTGATCTCCCTTCCTGCTTAAACTTTGATTGTAAATCTCTCCAGTATGCTGACGATATTGCACTGATGGTCACTAGTCATTCTATAGTCGATGCCACTTTCTCTGTGAATGTCTCTTTGGCTTCATTAAACCAATGGCTACTTGATCATGGACTATCTTTGAGTGCTCCAAAGAGCTCTGCTGTTGTGTTTACACGTAGACGTCGTACCCCAGATCTAAATATAAGTATTAACGGTCAGATTATTCTCATTAAGGCGAAGGCCAAATTTCTAGGAGTTACCCTCGATTCCAAGATGTCAGGTGTGGATCACATTGACTCGGTAACTAAAAAAATTGAACGCACCGTATGTATCCTCCAAGCTTTAGCCGGGGTATGGTGGGGTGCCCACTCATACACTTTAAAGTTAGTCTATAACGCTTTGGTTAGGAGTGTGTTGGATTACTGCTATTTCCTGATTATACCTTGTAACAAGGAAGCACTGCGAAGGCTAGATTCTATCCAAGCCAAATGCCTTAGGACTATTATTGGAGCAATGAAATTATCACCCGTAAATGCCCTACAAGTGGAATGTGCTGAACCACCTCTTGATCTTCGTCGGCAGTACCTCGCAGATCGTTTCATATCAAAAGTCCTCTCCCGATCATCCCATCCTCTACTTCCCATTTTGGATCAAATTCTCCTCTCCTATGATTCCTCTCCATACTGGCTCCACAAACCTATACCCCCAGTGATTGTCAGATACAGAGAGCTTAAAAATCTTTCGGCCTCTGTCAGTCAATTTCCAATTCTCCCTGTATTCTCCTTCTGCATACGAAGGCATCCATTTTAAACCGAAACTTGTTCTGGGGTTAGGTATTTCAAAATCCTCGGCAAACATTGTTGGAAACTTTGAGCGGGCACTGGAAGTGTACTGGAAGGGCTGGAATTTGTTCTACACTGATGCGTCAAAGTTGACTCAAGAGGGTTGTACAGGGGTGGCAACATATTTTCAGAACTCCAGAATAACTATGCTTTTTAAGTGTCCGCCAGAGGCTTCAATTTTCACGGGAGAATGCGTTGCAATCTTAGAAGCTGTGAAATTTATTAGAAGTCATAATATTAAAAATTCTGTAATTTTTTCAGATTCCCGTAGTAGTATTCCATTCCATTTGGTCCAATTTAACCCCACTAAGACACAAGTCTGCGTGTTTACCGCTAAGAAACTGCCGTTGGTCGTCTCTCCTCAGTTTCAAAGCACCTCCCTAACTGCCTCGGCCGGTATTGGAATACTTGGTGTCAACATTTCGAGCGACGTCCAGTTCTGCGGTCATTTAGAGGATAAGGCCAAATTAGCCTCGAGGAAGCTTGGTGTGCTCAATAGATCGAGGCAGTATTTCACCCCGACCCACCGCCTGCTTCTATACAAGGCACAGGTGCGGCCCCACATGGAATACTGTTCTCATCTTTGGGCGGGGGCACCCCAGTACCAACTTCTTCCTCTGGACCGCATTCAGCGGCGTGCCGTTCGGATTGTTGGATGTCCGGATGTTTCAAACCGGCTCGACACTTTGGCAATGCGTAGAGATGTAGCTTCATTGTGCATTTTCTACCGCTTATACCACGGGGAGTGCTCTGAGGAATTGTTTGACCTGATACCTGCCGCATCTTTTCGCCATCGACCCTCACGACAGCATATGCATCCCCATCATATAGATGGTTGGCAGGCCACAACTGTGCGGTTCTCACGTAGCTTCCTGCCTCGCACAGCAAAACTGTGGAATGATCTGTCGTCGGCGGTATTTCCGAACCGATACGACCTTCAAACCTTCAAGAGAAGAGCGTACTCCTTTTTAAAGGGCCGGCAACGCACCTGTGACTCTTCTGGTGTTGCGGGTGTCCATGGGCGGCGCTGATCGCTTACCATCAGGTGATCCGTCTGCTCGTTTGCCTCCTATTCCATAAAAAAAAAAATTCAATCTTTAGGTCAAAATCAGTTACACACCAAAATCCATAGCCATCTAGTTGTAGATATTAAACACCTCCTTTGGTGCTGTCATAATGAAGGGCTTAATATCGAAATAGTTTGGATCCCTGGCCACTCTGGCATACGCGGAAATGAATGTGCTGATGCGTTGGCTAAGTTTGCTACGTCAGGTGATGTGGAACGCCATCATTTCGTTATACCCGGCTATGATATCCGAGCCGACACAAAGCGAAAGCTTTATGACACGTGGTCTTCAATATGGAAAAGTACCTCACAGCGTAAAGGAGCTTACTACGCTTCCGTCCAACCTAGCATCCAGAGGAAACCTTGGTTTTTTAAATTTCGTAAAATCCCAAAACAAACAGTCACATCCTTGTGTAGACTTAAACTCGGCCACTGCAGTAGTCCAGTTTTTTTACCAACTCTGTATGCGAATGTGGTCTTGATGAGGGTACCCTCGAACATATATTTTTTTCTTGCTCCATAAACTCCCAATATCTAGACCTCTGTAGAGAACTCCCTAATATTAAAATCCCCCTCCCAATTAATTTTCGCTCACTATTAACCAATTTTTATCCTAAACTCATTAACCTTTTGGCAAAATTCATTACTAAAAATAATATTAAAATCTGATGTATAATGAGAGTACCTAATACAATATAGTGAATGTGCTTTAAATTTAAATTGACATTTAAATTTAATGCCATTTTTTTCCCTTTTCTATTTAAATATATAATCTGTAATGCTCACACCTGCCGTAACACATCACGCTGGCAGAATAGTCAACTACTAAATAGTGGAGACTCAATTGCCATAGAAGAAAAAAAAAAAAGTTGGGTATTTTCGCTAACATGGAATAAGAAACATTATGAACAAAGGAAAGTTAGTGTTTCCAGTATAGTGGGTAAGAATTGCCAACACCCATACCAATGTACTAGCAAGCAAATAAAATTTTAAGGGATATTTTGGTGCTCGGCCGGATTCACGTTAAGTTCATGGGATGTTGGAGAACGTTAATTATTACATGATTAGCCGATTACAAGTGGAACGGACTATTTTCTTGCTTGTTTTAGATTCGCCGCATCCAGCTCAGCTCTTCGCCCGGGTACTAACTTTGTCGTGCCTGGCTCCTTGTCCTTGGGGTACTTGTCTAGGAGAGGATTCAGCTGCTCCAAGCACGTGACCCTGTGCTTACTTCCGTCAGTGGCCTTAAGGAAGATATTGCCGTCTTGAGTCCAGCAGGCTCGCATGCCAAAATGTTGACGTGCCCTTGCAAATACCTCCTGTCTGGACTTCGTCAAAAACTCCTTTACAGAGATTTTAGTGCCACGCAAATGAGTCTTCGCTTTCCAGACCAACGCCTTAGAATCAAGGTTGGAGAATTTTACCAGACCCAGCTTTTTATTGATAGTCTCAATAATCAGACCGCTGCAATCCTCCCTATCTACCTCCGGAATACCCTGGAATATAAGTGTCTTCCGGCGGTTACGCATCTCCATGTCATCGTTACTTCTGGAACAATCAGTGATCAGGCTCCGCAACAGCTTTAACATATCCAGGACGAGTTTACGGAAGGTGCGGAATTCATCGGCTGTCCTGGCCAAAGAGTCTTTAGCCGATCCTGCCGTCTGAATCTGCCCCTCCAGATCCGCCATCCTCTTCAAGAGAGTCTCCTGCACATTCATATGAACAGTGACAACATCCATGGATTTCGGCATTGTGCAATTGTACCTTCCTGTGCTTGTGGTGATAATGTTTCAAAGGATGAAATTGATGTGCTGGCAGGTGGTGGCCAAGTTTAGCTATGTTACATGGACCTAGTAATTCTTAGCACTTGCTGATTAGTGATACCACTATGTAGATCTCGTTGTTGGTCCAAATTAAGCCACTAGTACTAACTTTATTATTTTAATTTATGTATTTAAAAATAAAATATTTGCGACGTGTGTACTCATTTAATGCCTACGAACGAATGTTTTACTACGAACGAATTTTATCAGTGTTGGATATCGTTTAGTGTTTTTGGCAAATTTTAAACCGTAGGGCTCTTCAGATTCTTATCCCGAAGCTGCTGACAACCTAACGGGATAGCGGGGCTCGGATTCTAAGCATGAGTAGGAACGGGTTAGGGAGTTAGTTTTTAGTCAGTTAAATTCTGACATTCTTTCTGAAAGTCTTTGGATCCCCCCCTCCCCTAAAGAAGGGTTCTTCGGGCAATCTTCGCGTTCTTTCAAACTTTTAATATAGACTTTTAGTGTCGTGCGACTGCTGCATGTTTACCGCGTTGACGTGACGCTGATTATGCCGACACTACACGTTGGCCCCACACGTTACTCCTCCAACATGTGGATTTAAAAGCCTGCAATACTTACATGTTGGCCGAGCGTTGCCGAGAAGGCCAATACCAACATCTAGACAGTTTATTTGCCTTGTCTTTTTTTTTTTTTTTAAGGGGGGAAAATCATCGAATGGTTGCTCCTGCCTGGGTGAGGCGGGAGGGAGTGTCAGACTTTTACTGACTAAAAACCACCCCGATCCTTCTCCTGCACGTCGAGTCGGAGCCCCGGTTACCCGTTAGGTTCTCCGCGACTCCGAATCGGCATCGGCCGTATTGAGCCCCATCTGTGGTGGTCTGATGGCTCTTTGAGGCGCGCGCGGAACGCGACGCGCCGTACGCTCGGGTCTGTTTCTGGTCGGACGGGGAGCCACCCATGCTCGCCTTCCGCAGGCCCGCGCTTACGGTGGCCGGAGATCGTCCTGCGATCCCCGACGCCCGGTGTGTCCTTCGCGATG